TCTGACTATATTCCAGAAAGTATTAGATATTTTTCCAGAAATTTGTTAACAAAACCATTGAATTTCCAGATTTAAATTGAATATTAAAAATCAGAAAAAAATCCAGAAATTTTCAGACTCAAAAATCAGGAATTTTCCAGATCAAAAATGGTTCATTTTTTTACAGGGTATTTGTTGGTTTTTTGCCAATTATTGTAATATAGACTGTTAATCTATGTGGTTAATATCTTCTTGTATATTAACAAACCATTATAAATTTTTATTAGTGAAAATTACTAAATATTATTGGAAGTTATTAGACTGTCATTAGACATCATTGAATTTAGATCTTCCAATGTAAAAATTTTGAAAGAGCTCCAATGACATTAAAGATCAGAATTTACTGCATCATTTAGAATCATCCAATTGTTTTCAATTACCTTCCAATTCCAATAATTGCCATTTGAACCTTTCAATGAGCATCATTGATAATATGATATAACATTTTTATTATAAAATAAATTTTTTTATAGTATTAATTCTCAAGATTCGAATACATTAAAAAGTTTTGAATTATAAATAACATTATGTACACAATAGGATTTAATCAATTGCATTTCTCTATATGACATATAAGTGCATTTGTAGATAGAAATCACCTTCTCAAAATCTCATTACTCGGTCAAGAAAAGTAAGTATTGTTTGAATTTTATAACAATCTACTATATTAACCTATTATGTTCAATTAACGGGTCCAATGATCTCAGACCATTGATTAAACATATAAAATTATTCTAATATCCCAAAAAAAATGTGAAATGTTGACGTTAACATGTGCCACAAGCTTCATATACATGTATATATATGTATATATGTATAGATTGTGTAAACTAAATTTCATAGGTGACGATTTGTAATTTATTTTTTCACCAAATTCGATACTTTGCATTTCGTGATCACAATAAAAAGATCAAATTGGCGGATATATTGTAATGCGCTAGGATTAAGAACATAACAGAACAGAATTGTTTATGTAATGGATTTTAGAAAGAATGATATTAAATACATGTATATGCGTAAATACAAAGAATTTTTTTTAAATAAAACCGCTTTTGGTCGTTGTATTCGGACTCAATGATTACGTATCTTCAGAATTATTCCTAATGCTAATGTTTTTGATGCTAAGAAATAAAAGATATAATTTTATTCTTATATAATGCATACGTATGTATAATACTTAGTAAAATTGGAAGTGTTTCATCGTGAAGTTGTTAGTTTTCTTGGGAAAAACTCCATTCTCATTAAATCTGTTTTGTTATATAAAATAGCGATTTTGCCTTCGTTTAGAACATACAAACTGACACTTGTAAACCTTAAATAGTTGATATAATTTAATTAATGTGAAATTTAATATGCCTTATGCATCATTATTAGTTAGAATTGAAATTAATTTGTAGTAAACGTAAAGATACGACTCGTATAAATTGCATTTGAGTGACTTTGTTTTTGTTCGTGTTAGTAAGAATGCTTTTTACGATCTCATCTCCTTAGCAATTTCTGCCCTTCTAAGTTAAGACACTCTTTAATTTCTTTACGTATTTGAGGATATACTAAACCAGAAAATACAAAGTATTTAATCTCTACTTACTCTCCATCGATAGTTGTAAAGTTCGGCAGTTCTGAAATAGGATCCCAATATTTTTAAATAATAATTTGCACCATTCGGGTGCATTGAAAGATGTTTTAATTCTTTATTAGACTGTCGATATCTTTATTTTCGTCAAATCAATTCAGCCTTATAAATTCGTTCGTGATAATTGAAACATCGATCGTAGCGCTTATTCTTATACATGTACATACATACGTATACATGTAATTTCTTAAGCAACATGAATATCGATATGACTACGTACGTATGTAGAGGTTAACTGTATATAGCGATAGTACATGTAATAGCGATAGTAGAGAAAGAACCAATAAAATTAAGAAACAATCATCATATTCTTCTTTTAAAAAGCTTCTATCAATAAATGCCAAGTGGAGTTTTCTCGGACTATAATGCTTACTTTTGGTATAGTGAAGTCTTCAGTGTTTGCGATAGATTACAGTATAATAACGATAACACATAAAGAAATAAAAAGTATGACTGTGCAAACTTGGATTATGGCCAATGGAAACTTGTCATATGAACAAAGTTACTAACGCTGAGTGATATATCGGTATATACAACATAACCATAAAGATAACTCACTTTTATTCAAGAAATGTTTCTTGAGCGTTGCTCCTTTCGTACACATAAAGCATACGATTATTACGGAGCACATGAAAATTAATTGCTCTATAATACCTAACGCTAAACTGTAAAACATGGCGTTAAGTGATAAACCCCGAGTTATATGAATTGATTTAATTTTATAATTTTTTTTTGATTTTTTTTAACTAATTTAGAATATATAAATTGATAAATAAAGAAATACGCCAAAAAAGTAAGTTATATTTTTTAGTGACTTATATAAGCAAACTGAGAATGGTACGAAAAACACTAAGTTTAAAGACAACAAATAAACATTTCCAAATAAAAAAAATGTTCACAAAAACCACGTCTAAATTCTTCTTTTTTACACTCTTGTTAATTTCTTTCACAGAAAACTATATTTATGCTTCCACAAACATCGCCGTAATTCTACATGGCGGACCTGATTTACAAAAAGAAGGAACAACAAACGAATCCGCAGTAAAAGGAGCACGTGAAGCTTGCACACCACCAACATGTAATCTCGAACTAACAAATCCAAAAGATGAGACGGAAGCAGAATACAAAAATCTTTTACCTAAAGTTGCATCAAACAATGATTTTTTTCTGACACAAGGATATTTTGCGCAAAAAGCGACTCATGAAGTGGCGGATAAATATCCCGGAAAAAAGTTTGGGATAGTTAATTTTGAGTTCACGCCGCCTGTGAAGAATATCGCGAGTATTCTGTTTGCGGAAGATCAACAAGGGTTCGTTGCGGGTCTATTGGCGGCTGAAATCTCGAAGAAGAGGAATAAGAAAGTTGCTGGTAATGATGAATTACATGATCGTTATTATCAATTTATACTAAAGTTTTATTTGAAAAAATTATAGTTATCGGTGGTGTTAGTAAGTGAGGCTTTATCATATATTTTGAATATTTTGATATTTTATATTTTGATATTTTGATTATTTGTATGCTATTATTTCATACTTCAGATATTCCACCAGTCAAAAGAAAAGTTAACGGCTTTGCGAATGGAGTAAAACATGCTTGCGCTGATTGCACCGCATATTGTCTCTACAGCAAATCTTTTGTGAATGAAAATAACGAATCACATGATATCTTCAATGCAATATCAACTAACAAAGGCATCGACGTCGTATACAATGCGGCAAGCATAACCGGTACGATCGCTCTTAAAAATCTAACTGCTAATGGGATTTACGGGATTGGCGATACAACTGACGAGGTATATTGTTCATGTTATCTCGTAACAAGATTAAATTGTCATAATCAATATTGATATTTATAATACAGTGGATAACTAATTGGGCGTACGGTTCGGTTCCTGGCTCGGAAAATCTTCTAACTTCGATCGTACAAGATTATCAAGTAGTCGTTCGCGACACAATCAGCGGAATGCTCAAAAACAATTTCGCAACTGGTGGTCTCGTAAAACATGGTCTAAAACTAAACTCCGAGGACTCGGCAATCAAATTTGCTGATTGTCACGAGGCATGCGAAATAAATACGCCAAATCTAAAAGAGAATATGCAAAAATACATTGGTAAAATTGCTAATCGACAAATTGATGTCGGGATTGATCATAAAAGCGGAAAATCGAAAATTTCTCCCGGAGGTTAGAAAATTTTGGAATTTTTGTCTTGGTCCCGCAATATTTTAATTACTATCTATTGCTTTAAAAGGTACCTCATGCACAATGTTGGAGATTAATAAGTCCTATTCATCGAAAGACGGTGTTGAAAATCGTCGTCGTAGTGATCGTGATAACATCGACCATGAAAGAAAAAGCGCGGTTGCAAATATTAGCTCTAGCTTTTCTATTCTTTTTTTAATTAATAGCGTCCTAATTTTATCTTTGATATTGTATTAGAAGATTTTTTTTTAATAAATATTATATAACGACTTTATTGCAGGAACTACTAAACTATCGATATTTTTGATTCATAATAATTAATAACGATAACCCATAATCTGGAGCCAAATTGAACTTTATCAGGATTCTTGGCTATTAAATAACGATACATGTATTAAAAGAGTATTTTGTTATTTACACAATAATAGAAGTTATAAGAGCCTTATTTCTGTCTCTCATCGTTTAATGTTAACGTTAATGCATGTTGTTGGGCGTACATAATACATGTACATGTACGTATAGGTATTCACACATAAAGCGTTTTTTAAATACTGATATATGTAAAACACTGCCATAATCACTAATAAACTCAAAGATGGCATCTAAAATTCGAAGACTCATGATTGTAGTGATTGTAGTAAATGCTGGCATTGTCGTAACGATTACTACTGCGGCGAGTGAGCAGTTCACAATACTCATGATTGTAGTAAATGTATCATATGTCGAAGAAATAAGTACTGTGTTGTATGTTTTCGTTATCACAAACGAATTTATGTTGAATGGTCTAGTGGAAACAACTATATCGACAGCCTAATCAATGAACACAATAATAATAATATAATATTTGAATGGATCCCTTTTGAAGATTTACCGATGTTGAATTTCTTCCAACAGGAAAAATTTATAAGGCAACCGACAGTTTAATAAATGAATGCGCGAAAATCAATGATAAATTCGAATGGATGTTGAATTTCTTCCAACAAGAAGAATTTATAAGGCAACCTGGTTGGACGGACCAATTCTCAAGTGGGATCATGAACAAAATAATTTAAACGATGGGGAGAATATAGAGTTGTGTTGAAATCATTATGTGGTTTAAAGCAAATTACATCAGAATTTAGAAACGAGGTAAAATTAACAACTTCTAAAATGTAATAAAGTTGCTTTTTTGTTTTCTAATACAATTAAACTTTTCAAATTAGATTCAGAATGCTCTACAGTGCATTGATATAAAATATTATGGAATAAATATAAACTCAGTTACAAATGAATATTCGTTAGTAATGAATATTCATGATTGTAGTGGATGTACCGATTGTCAAAAATCGAATTACTGCCCTCCATGTACGTATTGAGTACCACAGGCGAATCGAATCGTCTAACGAAAATAAAGATATCAACAGTTTGATAAATGAATGCGCGGAAATCAATGATAAATTCGAATGGATCCCTTTTGAAAGATTTATCGATGTTGAATATCTTGCAAAAGGAGGTTTCGGAACAATTTATAAAGCAACCTGGTTGGACGGACCATTCTTCAAGTGGGATCACGAAGAAAATAAATTCAAGCGACATGGAGAACGCAAAGTTGTATTGAAATCATTACAAAATTCAAAGCAAATTATATCGGAATTTATAAAAGAAGTAAAAATGTACCATTTCTCTAAAGTATAGGTATTATGCTTTTGGTTTTCTAATACAAACAAATTTTTCAAAATAGATTCAGACTGCTCTGACATACACCAATGCCTATCTTAAATACTATGGGATAACTAAAAACCAAGATATAACGATAACGATAACGATAAATGAATACTCGGTAGTAATGGATTATGCAAGTGGTGGCGATCTGCGCAAATATATTAATCCCAACTATGAAACATTGATTTGGGAAGAAAAATCAAAATATTTAAATAATATAATCTTAGAGCTGAATACAACTCACACAAAAGGCTTTGTGCATCGTGACTTTCACCCTGGAAATATATTATTGCATGTTAATGCTCATATTGCCGACTTTGGACTTACTGGACCAGCAGATACAAATAAATCTAATCAAGAAATTTACGGAGTACTTCCTTATATTAGTCCAGAGGTGCTAAGTGAAAAGCCATACACGGAAGCTACAGATATTTATAGTTTTGGGATGATTGTATACGAAGCTGTAACAGGTGAACGACCATTCGGTGAGCGAAGTCATGATGCAAATCTCGTATTAAACGTCATCAATGGAGTACGACCTATGATACCAAATAATGTTCCTGGATGGTGCAAATTTATTATTGAAAAATGTTGGGATCCTATTTCTGAAAACAGGCCAACCGCTAAACAACTTCACCACTTTATCGACTCCTTTGCTGATATCAACAATAAGAATTGGAAACCTAATAGTTTGCATTTTCACTACTACAGCGTTTTAGAGTATTCAAACGCTAAAACAGGTGAAGAAATTTAGGAATGTCTTATACTAGAAAGACAGAAATTAAATGAAATGAGACATCAAAAAAGTTTTTTTACAAATACAAACAAAAAAATCCACCCACATGCAGTTTACACTAGTCGAATATTTACTTTAAAATTAATTTCAATTCCAACTGACATGGGTACTTATTTATTTTAAAATATAAATCATATACCGTTTCATATTAATAAAAATTTATTTGGATATTTAGACTCCACAATTATTATTAATTTGTATATTCCGGACGAAATAAACGAAGGTAAAATTTATTACTATATATTTTTTATTTGTTTTTGTTTTAATTCTAATGTCAGCACAAGGTAACCTTTTGTTTTAATTCTAATGTCAGCACAAGGTAACCTTTTGTGTTAATAACGATGGAGTCTTAATTTTTTAAAATATTATATAGTTTTAACAAAAACTGGCTTCAAAGATCATAAGATGAACGATAAATGTCATATTGAAAATGTGTCGGAAGAATCAAATCGAGACAACAAGAGTCCTAGTTAAGGTAAATATTTAAGTAGCCTCGAGTAGTATTTTAAAAGTTTATTCCTATTAAATATTTTTATTGCATATTTTAAGCGACGACTTCAGATGTTATTTCATTTAATTATTAAGCAAATTGTATTTTTCGTTTTATAGAAATCAATATTAAGACATTTGTTTGTGTGTATCTCTAGCCGATGTGACTAATATCGATATTGATGCCGAATCTATAAGTGCTAATTTATATGTTCAAAACGAAACAAATGAAGATAAATCACTTTGATCTTCTTTTTATTAAATTCTTTAATCGCTATTTTTTCTTTGTAGTGCAAAAAATAATACATGTAAATGAAGATTCCGATCAAATCAAGAGATTACTCGACTCAATTTAATTATTACACAAAAACAATTTGAATGGGAACATGAACGACAAAATTTATTACATAGGCAATTTGAACTTAAAAAGGAAAATTAAAATTTATTACGTAGGTAATTTGAACTTGAAAAGGAAAAGGAAAATCTACTGGACGAAAATGAAAATTTAAAAATGATAATTAGAGAATAGAGATATTTTATTTATGGTATTTACTATTACCGTTAACGTTAATGCAGACATAATTTTTTATTATTATCGTTTATTTTATTTTGCTAATATCTCAAAGTTTTAAATAAATATCTGCATTCATCTATAAAACACCGCATATAATCATTAAAAGCCATTTTAAAATCGTTTTTATACTCAAAAATGGATTCTAAAATTCGGATACTTATGACTGTATAAGGGTGTGCATTTAAAATCCCGCATAAAAATCTAATAATGGTCGTGGTGTTATAAACTTTATTTTCTCTTGCCACATACAAAAATTCCTCCATTTCAATAATACATGCTTCAATTCGATCAGGCATACTTTTGATCAACCTTTGATAGTACTCGAATGGGATGTGAAGAACCCCTGACAAGATATTTCCGCCCGAGATCTGCATGATTAAATATTTAAGTTGTTATATTTAAAAATCTGCACTTGTTATGGCCCCTCCATTTTTCAAGAGAGATCTTACTCAAGATCCATCGAGTCAAAAGGTATTTTTGTTTATAACTGACACGTGGTGATCAACCTTTATATACATGTAGCATGGAAGATTATACATGTATGTGGATAATGATGATGATGTGATGACGATGATGATGAGCATGATGATGAGAACGACGAAGATTCTTCTTTCTTTCTTTCTTTTTCTTTCTTTTTTTCTTTTTCTTTTTCTTTTTCTTTTCTTTTTTTTCTTTTCTTTTCTTTTTTTCTTTCGTTTCTTCTTTTTATATCATTCGTTAATTGAATCCTTTCGAGAAATGAATCTCTAATTTTAGTGAAGCAAGTTTTATTTCTTTTCATTCGTCATTGAATTCTTGTTTATGTGATTTTTACAGTAGCAGTCATAAGTATCCGAACGTCCCTAACTTTTTATAGATCATGCGTATCATTCTAAAAATTTCTGAAACAAAGAATAACACAAATGCTGTTCATTTACTCCTTTTAAAGTTGGTATACTTTCTACATCGGGGGGGGGGGGGCGTTTTATGTTCATAAACTTTCACGCTCTAAATATAATAAAACAGTCGCTTTAGGACGTAAGATCTTGATGTCTAGTGATCGGATTTGAGCGAAAATACTATCATTTGACTCAGTTAGTCGAGATCAATCGAATGGTAGTATTTTCGCTCAAATCCGATCACTAGACATCAAGATCTTACGTCCTAAAGCGACTGTTTTATTTTTTTGTTAACGTCAAAAAAATGAATTTGACATAATATCTCGACGTCTAGTGATCGGATTCGAACAAAATAATACCATTTGATTCGTCTCGACTAGACAAATCAAATGGCATTGGAATTTGTGATGTAAAATTTTAATGAACATAAAACTCCCGATGTATCAGCATTTATGTTATTCTTTGTTTTCAGGAATTTTTAGGACGATACGCATGATCTATAAAAAATTAGGGGCGTTCGGATACTTATGACTGCTACTGTAATGTCTTACCTCTCGTAATGTTATGTTTGAATTAAATGAAATATTTATTATATTTGCAAGATCTATAGAGTTATGTTGAATGAGCAAACTTACCGTTACGTGCATCTTATTTTTAGCCTTTTCGTTCCTTCAAAAGTGATTGTTTTGTGACTAGATTAATTCTATTTGCTATTGAAGTAATCTTCTAATGTTTAAATATACAGATAAATCTAAGTGTCTCTCCCCGGGACCATATTAAAAAAAGACAATGTTTATTTAGAGAGAAGAGACTTTATAAGTTTGGGACTGTGTATTTAAGGCGGGTATATATAGTGTGTGAATTTTATAGAAGGTACTTAGGAAGATCTCTCTGTATTATACGTTGTTGATAACTAGTGCTCGTCAGGAGTAACGTACCACAAAATATTCTGTATAATAAGTTATTTCATAACACACATCTCAATATTCAATAATATAATTCTTAACATTCAGTGATCCGATTTGAACAAATATACAACCATTCGATTCGTCCAGTCGAGGGCCTCGGGTTATTCAAAAATAAACTTCGCTTAACGTTATAAAGTACTATTTATATTATTCTTCGTTATATCAAACTCTTTGTTAATAGGTTGGTTCCTGAAAATTCTTCGATTTAACGCGAGTTCGCTTTATCGAACTTTAACTGGATCACTGGAAATCGAGATATACCGATACATCATACATCGATCGATTCATTTTTTTGGCGATCAATTTCTAATTAAACCATCCGATTTTTCTAATTTAGGCTCAAATTGGATCACTAGATGTCGAGATATTATGTCCTAAAGTGAATGATTCATTGTATTTGGACATGAATATATAATGCGCAATATAGAATACCAATCTATAAAAAGTATCAACGATCAGCATCTGTAATGTTCTTTGTGCTCGGAAAATTTTGGCACATGATCTATGGAAAGTTATAAGGGGGTACGTTACTTCTGACGAGCACTTTATGTGCTAGAGCCAGTCAATTAACGAAATCAAGTCAATAACATTCAGGTATCATTATTGTGTAGGATAAATAAATATTTGAGTCGCGTCTTTGTTCAAAAAATTACAAGCAAAAATATCAACAAGTAATCGTATCTGAATATTTTGTAAAATTCATTATAATACTAGGCGTATATCAAAAGCAAAGCACAATTAACCATTAGTTTTTTTTGAAAAATAAACATAGTAACAAAATATCTCTATTTGAAAATATAGATATGAATCATCTCGTAATATAAACTTGTTAGTTTGGTTAAAAAGCCAAAGTCTTCAAGCAAGAAACTGGTGAAGTAAAATTCAATAAATCTTTTAGTGTAATTTCTCAACGAGGTTTGAGGGAAGACATAGATACGTGACACTCACAATGTCCATCTGGGGACAGCGTGGACTATGAATAGTTTCTATTATATATTATATATTAAAAGAATAAATAGGTTTAACGAAATGTTGGTTCCTAATATGGAAATATTTGAAAAACAAGCTGCAGTATCTAACCGTTTATAAATATTTCAACCGATACTTAATAGAGGAGATTTTATTTAGAAAGGTATGCATTGCTTACACTTAAAAGTTCATATACGGCATTATACTTCTCTTCAAATACATGACCTGATTTAATATTTATACTTGATTTTCGCTTAATTTCTTGATGAAATAATAATTTGAGCGGGTTAGTAAATAAAATTCGACAACGAGTAGCATTGGGTAGTAAATGCTCTCGGTGAAAGGCCACAGATAACTTTATAGATGTTTTCGATCCCATCGAAACGCCCTTTATCAAGTGACACGTGAATGTACCTTGTTAACGGAAAGAAAAAGAAGGGAAACGTCTCTTCAAGAAGTATCTATCAATGCAAATTTAACTGAATAAATTGTTGTCGCGTGACTAATACTCTTGCGTCAGCAAGAGCTGCAGAAAAATTGTTTTCGATAGTTTTATTTCCAAAGAATTAACATATATTTTATAAAATTTCCAATAAATATTAATTCAGCTATTTTATTAATTACCCATGTATTATGTAATGTCAAATTACATAATACATGGATACAATAGCAAGGAATACATACAATTCTAAAATACGCGTTTCTTACACAATCATTTATTCTCGACCACAACAAAAAAAGAAAGAACCGCTGCAACAGCAAAAATCCCAGAAAGAACGGACCAAATAACATGCGGTGCACTTGCCACCACTAAACTATACAGTATATTCATAATAATCGGGAATACTATTCGCATTATGGAGTCGATGACACTTAGTGCGCCTAGTAGTTGTCCTACTTGATATGCTGGTACTGCATTTGTGAGTAATGATCTGAGTGTGGGGATTGCAATTACGCTGAACGATTCTATTACTCCGGCTTTTGTGAATTGATATAAATTCAGTTTTCAGATTTGATTAAAATTGTTATTAAATATCGATGAATTAATTCATACCTATTGTGAAATCTCTTCCGATTGTAGCTTTCCCAAGAGCAACAAAAGTAAGAAACTCGATGATTAATCCGATTCTGATGATCCATATGTCAAGTAACATTCTTTGTGACCGAACATCATTAGCATTTGTTCCTCGATCCTTAATAAAGCATTTTACCAATAAAGGTAATCCAAAGAACAGCAGTAATGCTCTACTTTCCCCCAACCAAAATATATAATAGCCTATCTCTAATGTCCCCCAATCAAATTTGTATTTCGTATATAAAACAAAAACTGCTTGAAATCCAAAACTCGCTGCAGCGATCATCGCATTGACATTTGCCAAAAGAAAAATCATCTTTTCATTTCTATGTTCGTTTTTGTCGTCATTTTTGTTGTTTCTTGTTGAAGTAAACGATTTTGGCAACAAAATGCTTAATGGTTCGAATACGATGTAAATTTGTTCCCACAAATTTTGTGGTTTCTTTTTGGAGAGTTGTAATTGAGCGTTTGAGTTGAGTTTTTCGAGTGACAGCGATTCAGGGAGGATTATTAAAATGAAGAGAAAGAACACCAGGAATATTATGGTTGCAATGTAGAAAACAGATAAAATATTGTTCGTGATTGATATTATCCATCCGCCAATTAGTGGTCCAATTGACATGCCGAGTAGGATTGCACCCTGTAACCATCCGAACATTACACCCCTAATAATTATTTCAATATTGTTAATTTACGAAATCCTAAATAATAATAAGTAATAATAAAATTATTTCACCTTCGATCTGGTGTTGTGCAATCAGTGATATATGCTTGGCTTATAGTCATCAATGACATTAAACCTCCAGTGAAACCTTCCACCAAAGCACCTACCGCAAAAAATATCGGGCTAATGTCGTGTTCCGCAATTATTATAGTAACTATATAATTGAAGCAGATCCCTGCAGTCGCCAGTAATAATGAAATTCGACGACCTTTTCTGTCGGATAAGGATCCTAGTGCACCTAGGACGAAAATTGCTAGTTGTATTTAAGATGTAAATTATAAGCTTAATTTTTGATGATGTGCATCCTAATTTCACTCTCAAATAGAAACATGTAAACTTGCCAGGTAAAGCCACACATAGATTCACTACCAGCATTAATTGAGAAGTGATCGCGTGTACTTGAGGAATATTACAGTTTAGATCTGGTGGTTCTCCATTATACGAAATTACATTATTTTTTGATGATGAAGACAATAATGAAGTAAAATTGCTTGTAGCGTTGGTTTTTGTGTCTGATTCATAGTAAATCCGGCATACAATCGTCATGAATAATTGTATGCGAGTGACATCTCCAAATCCGCATGTCGATGCTAAGACAAAAGCTGTAGCTAGCAACCAGTATGATGAAGGTTTACGATGCCATGGCGTTTTTTTTAACAACGGGGTGAATTCATTACAATCATCGATAAGTGCGTTATTATTGTTATCGTTATTCATGTTTTTTTTTTTATTAAAACGCAATTTGTGTCGAGATGACTTTTATATAACGATTCATTTTTTTTATTAAAACGCAATTTTTTATCTAGATGACTTTTATATAACGATGACAATTCTTTTTTTTTATGTAAGCTTCCACATTATAATATTAGTACAATTGTTCTACAACACATTGTAATTTAGTATGGATAAATAATACGTAGTTAATATATATATCGTAAAGCTAATAAATATTTAACTGCCAAAAGAATGACTATAAAAACGGACTCATATTCGAACTTGTAATAAAAAAAATGTCATGACAATCAAAATCAATCGTTCTTGTAACTTAGTATGGATAAATAATACGTAGTTAATATATATCGTAAAGCTAATAAATATCTAACTGCCAAATGAATGACTATAAACACGGGTTCATATTCGAACTTTTAATAAAAAAAATGTCATGACAATCAAAATCAATCGTTCTTATTGATATGGCCTGTTAAAGGATCAATAAGCAAATCAGTTCAACATTATGGCTTATTTAGGTCTACTGTGAAGTTGTACGCAAACTTCTGGAACCAATCAAAAGGAAATAAGAGATGTTTTATAACAGTCTTTATCGTTATTTGATAATTTGATGAGCTTCTTTTTTTTTGTTTCAGTGAGAAGCTTTTATTTATACAATTTTGTTATTAAAGCTACATGTAATAAAATATCGATATGTCATGACAATCACATTCACGACCCTATAGCCACATTGTTACACAATAACATATTAGTCTTGATTTCCCGAATCAAGAATTCTACAACACGACAATCACATTCGTTACGTGAGACCATATTAGTCAAGATTTCCCGAATTAAGAATATTATCGTTATAACGAATTCTACAACAATAGGTCAGATGTCGTATGCAATCTACAACCCGAAATTTTTTAATCGTTCTCCATCTCTTTCTGTCCCTTGATTAATGGAGATATGAATATAACGAAAAGGTTATTATGTATACACTTAAGGAATGCTTTTACTAACCAATCTTGTGACTATTTTTTAAGGTATTGTAGTTTAACTAAATAACCATGTCATACAGATTAACGTTAGAATATGGGTTTGGTAAGATTCGCCGACACCCATTTCACCGACGACAAACCCATATCACCGACAACCAATTTCGCCGATATTGACGCCATTTCACTGAGTATAACGATAACGATATAGGGTTATCGTTATAGCATAAACTGTATTTAGATAAAGCTTTAACCCGAATCCATTTTCTAATACAGTACAGTCCATGAAATAGGTTGTAATAAGTTGTCGATGCTATAGGTGCATCCTTTAGGGGCTAATATTTCAACGGGGCGATGGTTAAATCTCAGGTGTTAATATAATCTCACGCGCATGTGTTAAGTGAAATATCAGGAGGGGGAAGATGAATATTAGCTAATATTTGTCACTCCCCTTAGAGAATAATAGCGATAGCAACTTTTGTTGTTAGCGTTATTTTTATGCAAGTCTGTAATTATATTACATGTATAGATTTCACCCAATACGTAAAGAAACCACTTTCTAACGCTAAGTAATGATGTCTACGAAATATATGATCCGTCGGGTAACGTTCAACATACCGACAAACACAATCCCGACAATACATAAGCCCAACAAACGAAATACCGAATGCACAGTATACCGAAAGCACGAAATCCTGAATGAACAGCATACAGTGCTCGTCAGAAGTAACGGACCCCCATAACTTTCCATAGATCATGTGTAATGTTCTGAAATTTTCTGAGCATAAAGAACATTACAAATGCTGATCATGATACCTTTTATAGATTGGTAGAGCTTCTATATCGGGTATTGTTCATAAACTTTCACGTCCCAAATACATGTTAAATAATCTAACTTGACATCCAGTGATCCGATTTGAATAAAAAATATACCATTCAATTCGCCTAGTCGAGGTGAATCGGATGGTAATATTTTTATTCAAATCGGATCACTGGAGGTCGAAATATTGCGTCCTAAAGTAGCAGATTTGTTTTTTTAACATTAACAAAAATGAATCGGTCAATCTAAGACGTGATATCTCGATCTCCAGTGATCCGATTCAAACAAATATATAACCATTCGATTCGTCTTGACTAGACAAATCGAATGATATATATGTTGTGCCTCAGATGTCGATTTGCGTCAGATGTCGCTTCATGCGATTTTTTTCGGCCAACATTAACCTATTCACCAGCACTAACCCTAACGCTAGTAATACTCCCATCTTGATTTAGGCCGATCGCCAGTGCTCCGATTCAAAAAAATAATATATATATCATTCGATTTGTCTAGTCAAGACGAATTCATATTTGTCGATCAATTTTTCATTATAAATTGATCGCCAGTGATCCGATTCAAAAAAAATAATATATATATATACATGTATATATGTTGTGCCTCAAATGTCGATTTGCGTCAGGTGTCGATCGAGATATTACCGTTACATCCTATTCATTTTTCTGGCGATCAATTTATAATGAAAAACTGATCGACAAATATGAATCGATCACTTTTGGACATAATATCTCGACGTCCAGAGATCCGATTTGAGCAAAAATACTACCGTTCGATTTGTCTAGAAAAATCAAATGGTAGTATTTTTGCTCAAATCGGATCTCTGGACGTCGAGATATTATGTCCTAAAGTGAACGATTATTGTATTTGGGCATGAACATACAATACCCGATATAGAAGCTCTACCAATCTATAAAAGGTATCATGATCAGAATTTGTAATGTTCTTTATGCTCGGAAAATTTCAGAACATTACACATGATCTATGGAAAGTTATGGGGAGTCTGTTACTTCTGACGAGCACTGTACCGAAAGCGAAATCCCGAATGAACAGCATACCGAAAGTACGAAATCCCGAATGCACGGCATCACGAAATCGCGCATTTACTAATTTCCCCCAGGTTTCTGATTGGTTGAGGATATTAAAGGTTAATTTTAGCGTTGGGTTAGGGTTAGAGTTAGAGTCGAGGATAAAGTTATACGTAAAATTGCCTCCCTGACATTTTTGATTAGTGCTTCAAGCCAGATTTAAGCATTTGTTTTCCGTATATTTCACATTATTCGCATTTTTAATTTTCTTGTGTCGGATTTGTTTTGCCGGTCTTATAAAAATTTATGCATTTTTATTGGTTAATCTAGAAAACCCGGTAAGTAGTCAACCAATCGGCGATGGAATTACGTGCATCCAATCAGAAACCTGGAGGAATTAGTAAATGCGATGATCAATTTTTTATATAGAAAAAATGTAAGAAAAATTTGCTCTTATAACAGGTGCATTATATTTATTAATAAACTTTCATTACAAATCTTTTATTTATTAAAAAAATATGTTTTTGTTCTTAACGGACTAAAACTTTTATGAAAATCTTAATTTGAAATATAATGATAATCAATTTTTATGATATTACACAAGATTATTTTGTATTAACGTCAACGTTAAGAATACAATCACACACATATACACACACACGTTATAACATGAATTCGACATTCTATACTGACTCTTCTGTTAATGAAGACAACATAGATTACATGTTTATCAGATCCGGCTACTATAAGTGATTCAGACTCAGAGTACATTTCAAAAAGCAAGTCATCGTTAATAAATGAAGAATTCAATTTTGATTTTGAAGCATTTTCTTGAATGAAAGATATAGTAAAACTTAACATCACAATATATGTCACATTCAAAGAATTATATACAAACTTTTCTGATAATAAGCACCTTCCCTGTAAAAATTTGAATCTAATTTTATCCTAACCTTTTAATGAAATGAATTATATTTTCACAAAATAAATAAATTAAGATTCAATATTGCAATTTCTTAAAAATTTTAGCCACTAAAATAATAGCCTCAAGTTTAAATTTTTCTACAGATGGAACAATATGATAATAAGATCTATTATTTTCTTTTATTTTTTATAATTATAAAATATGTTAAACTGTTTTACAATTAAACTTTTTAATATTCTTTACATATTTTAATAGTTACTTAGATATATTTTATTTACATAATTTAATAGTTATTTAAATATATTTTATTTACATATTTTAATAGTTAAATGTATTTTATTTTAATTATGAAAAATCCAAAAACATAAATATAAAGAATTGAAATATATAATAGTTTATTTTCAGACTTTCTACAAATCTTTAAAGTAATACTTAAAAATAAAAATAAAATTGAATAATTTGATAATATAATGATAAAATTAAAAATAAAAATTAAATTCTAAATATAAGAATACTTTCTTACATGAAAAGTAATAAGATAAATTTATTAATTGCTATAAATAAATTATATCAATTGAGATAATTTTCAGTTTTAATTTTAATAAAGCTTATTTCTTTATTTATTAAATAGTGAAAAGATCTAAAGAGCTATAGTACAAAACAGAGATATTTAAATATATAATTGAGATTTAATGAATTACAAATAAAGAATAATAAAATAGAGAGCGATTAGTTCTAAATTATTAATCTTAAAGGTGATATATTTTCAAGTTATACTATACTTAATGAGATATATATAAAATATAAATAATAATAAAAGATAATTAATATGAATTTAAAATAATAAATGAAAAGAAAAGTAATTAAAAACAAAGTGTGTTTAAATTAATAATATTCTCTATATTTTACATTTAATCTATTTGGCAAAATATTAAGAAGTATTAAATATAGATCTGTGTTAATTTCTAATATATATGCAAAAAATAATAAACATAACACGAAAAATAATGGATATGATACAAGAAAATACAAGAGTATATAAAAATTATTATAAAATAAATAATAAAATAAAAAATAAAATTATCTCTTAAATTAACCAGTAAACAAACTTGTTTACTAAAATTTTTTTAATTAATTTTTATATATTTATATTTAATTTTATAAGTTTAACTTATTCTTTCTAAGCTGAAATAAAAATATAATTTATTTTTAATTAATATAATCTAAATTTATAATTTCTATTTATAAAATACTCAAAATATTTGATTTATTTTATAATCAAATTCTATAATTTTATTATAATTTTTTTTAAAATTTAAAACTAAAAATAAAAATTTTTTAAAATTGCTTATTTTTAATTTAATAAACAACTATATTTTTTTTATAATTGTTAAAAAAGTAAAAATAACTATTATATTATATATAAATAAAGCCAATATTAAATAATTTTATTTAAATATTTTAATATTTAATAAAAATATATTTAAATATAAATTTATAATATTTTAGTAAGTAAATTTACTTGCTGAACTAGATAATTTAAGAGATAAATAAAAAATTGGATAAAAAATAAAATAAAAAATAAAATAATAAATATTAAATATTAAATAATAAATAAAATTAAGAATAAAATTAAGAATAAAATTTTAAATATAATATTAAATAAAAATTAAATTAAAGAATAAAATATTAGATAAAGATTAAAATAACAAATAAAATATTGAATAAAATATTAAATTAAATAGTGAATAAAATATAAAATAAAGAATAAAGTATAAGATACTGAGTTATTATTTTTAAATAATTATTATTTTTTAATATTTTTTATTTATATAATATTAACAAATTAAAAAATTTATATTAATATTATAATAATATAATAATATAATAATATATTTAATATATAATATTATTTTTATTTTAATATAAAAATAAAAAATATTTATTAATAAAACTAAAAACTTAAATAAAAAGAAAAATTTATATTTTTTATATTTTTATTATATTTATTAATAAATTTTTTACTATTTTATTATTTTTAATTTTATAATATTTTAAAACTATTAAAATATAATTAATAATAAAAAATAACAAAAACTCTTACTTTATTCTTTTTATAAAAAAATATTAATATAATAAAATATTAATTAACTAGTCAATAATAATAATAATACTTATTTGATAATTTTAATAAAAGTATTTAATATAAATTTTACAATATATAATAAAAAATAAAAGATAAAATATTAAGAAATAAAGAGTATTTATTTATTATATTATTATTTTGCAAGTTTTAATATGTTAAGTTAAAGCTCAAATATGTATTATTTTTATTTATATTAATAATATTTTTATAATAAAACCAATTAAATAATAATTTATAATATAAAATTATAACTAAAGTTATAAATTATAAATTATATTATAAAAAATTATAAAAAAAATTGTAAATTATAAATAATAATATAAAAAAGTTATAAAAAATAATAAAGTTATAAATAAAATTGCAATATTTAATAAATTATATTTGTTAATTTTTTATTTTGATTATTTTTAAAAGTTTTGTAAATATTCTTTTTTTAAATGATTTTGCTTTACAAAATTTTTAGAGATTTTTAATTGTTTATTAATTATATATTAATTTAACTTTATTTTGTGATTTTTTATATTTAATCTGAGAAAGTTTTTCTAATTATAAAGTAAGTTAATTGATTTTTTATATATTATTTAACTTATTTTGCAATTAGAAAAACTTTCTCAGATTAAAAAATATATATCAAAAGTATTTTTGTATAAATAAAAATTTTAATTAGTAAAATTGAAAACTTTTATATAAAGAGAAAATCATATTTATTATATTTTATTTGTATTACTTTTGTAAGCTACTATATATATTTGGCAAATACTACTTTATTCTAATTAGGATTTATAATTCAATCCAATACCTAATTTGTGTCTTCGTAACTAATTGTTCGATTAGTTTCATTGTTTGCACTTGGATTAATCAGTTATTGCTCCAGTGTAATAAAGTGTCAAGGACATTTGATTCAATCTCATATAACAAACTTGCATTTTTTGTGCTTGATATAGTATAAATTTAAGGATTTTAGATATATAACAAAAACTATTTTTCTAATTGCTAAAGATTTTCCACTCAAAAACAATTAAATAAACAGCCAATACACAAATTGATTAGCATTTTTCTATAACGATAACGATAATGCTCATTTCAAGAACTCAGGTCATGTGAAAAAATTTAAATTGGTATCTAAATAATGTCACATATTTCTGAAATTCATATACAGTTTATAAGTATGTTATGTTATACATGTATATATATAAGTACATGTATACACATTTATGCAAAAAACTATTCTCAATGTCAGAATATATAGAGAAGAAAAGTTGAGACTATTATTCCCAGGAATCCAGCCAAATACAATAAAGATGACTCTTGATTCGGCGCAATTTTCCAAGCACCCGCAGTCTCAGTTCTAGTTGGGGGCAAAGTAATCGAAGTTTCTGTCGAAGTAGTAAAGATTGAAGGAGTTTTCCTTGTAATTCTCGTTTCTGTGCTGTAAGGAGTTGTTGTGGGAAAAGAAGTAAAAGTTGGTGTTGCTGTATATTGAAAAGTGGGAAACGAGAAAGCTGAAATAATCCTTGTAGCATGACTCAGATTAGGTTCAACTTGAAGAGAATTTTGCGTGGGTATTTGCGAAGAAATGACAAGGGTAAAAGATTGCTGCATTAGAGTAGCCATAGATCGCCGCAATGGTGCAGGAGATAAATCAGTTAGCGGCGTAGCAAAAGTAGCAAACATTGATTGCTGTGTTTCAGGATATTTGACTGGTTCGAGAGTTTCCAGCTTTTTGATTTGATCCAGAGTCGCATAATTGCTCGGAATTTGCTGAGTCATTAGAGTCACTGGTGACGGTACATACACAATTCTGGTTACAATTTGTGGGGTGAGTTGAGTTACCGTGATGTATTGAATCAAGTTTTGTGGTTGTCCTAAAGAGAATTTTCATTAAATGGAATTCCAATAATGTCCCAAACAACGAGATTTACCATTCATCAAGTTTGTGCTAGCAGAACACATGACGAGAGAAAAAATGATGACAAAAATCAAAGAATCGTGCATTTTTTATTGTTTATATCTAAATAAAGAAACAAGCTATTCAACTTATTATATATATTGAACATTTTATAATATATGAAGCTTTGAATCAAGACAAAAAGTAATGAATCACACTTTGAATTTAATATATTGAAAAGTATTTTATCAAAATAAATGGTTAGGTGTCCGAAATCGAGTTCGTATCATTCCTTATGTAACGTAACACGATCAGTTTGTCATCGCAAATGACGGATCAATGCACTTTATAGTCTCATTTTCACATGTAAATAATCCTTTGAAAATTTAGATTTGATGTTGTTGTCATTCGGGCTGACTAAAATGTACGTATATGGTATCGGTATACAGTATTTTTTAAATTGTGACTGATAATGCATGCATGTAATAATCATAACAAAAGCATGATAATCGCTGATAGGTTTCCTAAAAATCAGAAGAGAATGGTGCTTATTAATGTACTTTGAAACTCGCGCTGCTTTACCAAAGTATGTAATCAAAAAATAATTTACTTGAAACGACCGCTAATGATGTCGCTGAGAATCAATGATATTGATATTCTTTGTAAAACGAAAGAATTCTATTAGAGAATAGATTTCTTTGTAAAGCGAAAGATTTATTAGAGAATAGATTCGAGAATTAATCTCGAAACGACAAATTGTTGGAATTAAACGAAATTGAATACGAACAGAAAGTGAAAAAGTTTTCGGAAGTGAATTGAACAGAGAACAGAACTAATTACGTATTGGAAACAGTACGAAGCGAATAATTAAACGATCAGCCAAAAAAAGCTGGTAAGAAAAATACAGAATTACGAAATTACTCTAAGAAACGGATAGAATCCGAAAATCTAGTAGTATACAAATAAAAAGTCAATGTACAAGAAAATTCTATAATGTTTGGCGTAGAAAGTTGGAGAGGTGGATAAATATTAAAACATTTACATTTTTTGGTCTAGCTTATGTTTGTTATGTGCATATATAAATTGTTTGTTAAGAGTGTATTAATTCGGCCCAGCCGAGTTATTTTTTTTAGAAATAACGATAACGTCGTTTTGGTTGTTTTGATTTGTCACTGTTTCGTCCAATCGCCCACCCAACACTGAATACTCCCAAATATTTTAGAATTCTAGTCATTGATTTCTTGCCAGTTTGCCGAACTTTTGGAGATTGTTCGATTAGCAATCGATTTGAGCTCCGACACTTGATTGCCATGACAATTTGAGCAAAGCCAAAAAGAAATCCGGTGACTGTTAAAACATTTTCAAAAGTGGAAACATTGTTTATGAATTGCTGTAATTTCGCTCGGCTCGAGACACTTTCATCTTGTTTTATATAATCAAAATATCCTTCATTATTATTCATTGTATTTGCTGTTGTCATTGTTGGTGAACTTAAATCTTCGTGACGTTGAGATCGCGCATTTATATAATTATAATTATAATTATAATTATAATTATAACAATCTAATGCATTTTCTGATGCCATGTTATTTTCTTGCATCGTGTTATCATCATATGATTCAGCTTCAAGCGCAGTCCAAATAAAACGTTGAATTTCATTTTCTAAATTTTCACAACTTTGTTGATACTCGGGTGTCAACGGCGGCGGTAAGGGCTTCTCTATTGGTTCATCATCAAACATTTCTTCCATGAACGAAGTTCCTGGCGTTCCAGGCATCGATAATGACGAATGACGAGAATGTATCTGAGCATCAAAGTTATTGTATCCGCAATCGACGGGTGTCATTATTTGTTCTGATTGAGCGGAAATTGTGCTCGCTGAATCCCAAGTTGTATCGACAGAATCTTTTCTGTGCAATACAATTGATTCATCTGGTACTGGTCTCGATAGAGCAACTTCTGCTTCTTCAAGAAGCTTTGTCAGTGAATCACAGATTCTATCTAAAGGTGAATCATCTTCTTTTTCTGCAGGTTTAAGTGTAAAACTTTTCATATGATTTTCTCGAGTAGTTTCCAAATCGTCATAAGCAGGAAATGTAAAATTTTTTGTCATTTCGCTAACTTCTGATATGTCACTATAATAGTAGTAATTCGCAAATAAAAATTAAGAACTTATTTATTTCAAATATAAATTACATAGTTAATAAGACTAACCTTATACTCGAACCTCTCGTATGAAGATCGTCTTTGAACCTTGTTTTTGTTGAAGGTTCCTTTCTATAAAGAAGATTAAACAAAGTTTATTCGAAATTGCTACGCGGATGTGGAAACATTACAAAAAGGTGAATAATGATTCATACCCGTATAAACAGCATTCTAACTCTTCTATCATTGTTTGTGTAGTGTATCTTTCTTTCTGAAGTTTATCCAATATCTCTGTTGGTAAATTCTTCAGAAAAAGAGAAAATTTTTGGTAAGAATTTTAATACACGTTCAAAGATCAGACTTTCCAAATACTAACCATCTTTGACTCTGAGTTGGCTTTTGAGAACGACTCTCTCGGCCTGCGTTGAGTTCTTATATTTCTCGCCTCATGCATCTTCCAATAATTTTCGTGATTAAGTGAAATTGGCAATAAGTGCCACCACTGATCAACCATGTTTTGTCTTCGACGAATAGCTTTTATATAGAAAACTCGCTCAAGTATGCGAAATTATAAAAATGTAGGTGGCGCGCTTATTTCCAAATTTAAATACGATAATCATATGCACGGGTAACATGAACACAAATAAATCATTCCAATCAGGAGTTTGTGAATCGTCTTGCAATGCATGATGTGGTAATCCTTCCATTTATCTCATCTTTTAACAAAGATATTATTACTATCAATCTGTCCTCGTTTTATCATCTTTTATAAAATAGAATACCCTAAGCATAAAATAAATGTTAGATTAATCTCCATTATGCCGCCGCGTAAAGGATATATCTAATCACAGTACATGTATAATGAATAATTTCAAGTCACCAGTAGCAGAGTTTTAAATTATAAAATTGTAACTCGGCCGGTGCAGATTTGTATAACCCCGTGTGGCATACAAATAAATAACTCATGTCATGGGTTAAAAAGGCTGTTTTTTAGGAGAGAATACTTGCTTGAAATTTATCTCCGTGAAATTTTAAATATTTGCAAGAGGAATGAATGTGTTTGACTCCCAACGAACTAGGGTATTGATTTTTCACGAGTTTACATTCCAAAATGGTCATTAATAGGAAACAAACATCATGGCAATTGGTCTCGTGTGTATTACAACACCATTTAAACCACGTGGTAAAACTTCTCATTACACGTTTTACTGTTAACCTTTTTGAACTAATACCCGCCACGATAAAATAAATGATCGACTTACGCTTGCTACAAAAACATATGTTATTTATGTTATTGTTAAATGAATTTCCATTGTTTGATCAAGTCAAGTCATTACGGCTTTGAATTCATTGTTTTGGAGTACGTATCTCGTATCATTCCTTAAATATAAAATTCGCAAATGGTTTTATGAGCTAGAAAACCAAAATTATGCACAGATTGCAGTAATTACCTCCCTAAGTACGCTGTGCATTTATAGAGTGTGCATTTAAAGAATAAATTCCAATATTGGAACCTATGGATAGGGGGTGCACTTAGTGAGGTTTCTTTGTAGTGTGTACATGTAATACGTACTAATAAAAATGATCGAAGTAAATTTCTGTCTATTTATTTGAAATCTGTAAATATTGCTCGATCACAGATTTTTAGAAATCATTGAATAACAAAGCTGTATGAAGAATTATGTATTTATTTCATGCCTTTAAGATTCGTACACAATAATGAGCTCATAGCGATAAATAACGATAGAGAAAACGAAATAGTGTTAATATGATTGTGAAATGCAAAAGCATGCGATCAAATGCAAAAGCAAGTCACCCGGATAAGTTCTTTTTGGGAGGAAGGCGGTGTGATACATGATTCATTTATGCGTTATTAAATGTGTATTAATGAAATGTCTGAAAGGTAAATATTTTAGTAATAAAAGTACTCAAATAATAAAATGATTAGTGCTAGTTTGACTTCGAATAAGATTATATTTTATAAGCAAGTAAAACCATTCTAATTATAAAGGCTTCCTAATAAAAGAAAAACGGAAAAAGGAAATGCGTTATTTTCTATTTCAAAAATTTTATCTAGTGCTCCGCACGGTTCGGGTTAACCCGTACGAAAATAAATTTTTGGACATAAAAAGTCCATTTTTTACTAACAAGACCTCTATTAATGTAATAGCTAAACTTGTTCACCATATATAATTCTATTATACGGCCCAATTTTGTGGAAATGATTATTTTATGAGTTTCTAAAGGTCATTTATGAACTTTGAATGAGAAATCAGACATAATACCAAGTTTTAATGTAACAAATACTATTAATAAAAAAGATTGTTCTATTTCATTTCTAAATAAATACAAATTTTCAAAATATATTGAGCGTTGGTTCACAAATTATCACGTAAAAAGTAAAATTTATTTGGACTTGGATGGATGTATGATATGCAGTTGTAAAATTCGCCTCAAGAATGTTTTATTTTAGATTATAAGATTAGCAAATTGTAAATCAATAAATTAACAATTACTTTTTATACTTTTAAATATTTTTTAATAGTTTTTCAAATATATATAATTATATGCTAAAAGTTTGTATAATTAAATATTTTTTATAATTTTATAGAATTTTTTTCAAAAAATGAAATTTCTTATTAGTAATTTTATAATTAAAATACTTCTTGCACTGTACAATGCGTAGTATAACTAAAATTTCAAGAAATAACATGTTCTAAAAAATTTTTATTAATTAATATCAAATCAAACCAAGTTTAAATAATATTAGAGTATCTAATAGATTTTTGTATATAAAAAATATTTAGTTTTATAATTTTTTAAATTTTTATATATTTTTCAATTGTACTACATATAGCACAAAAACCTAAGTTCAATCCATTAATATACAATATATTTAATATATCTATGTATATTAGTTTTAATTTTTCATGATCTTTTCAAAGTGTCATTACTTTTTTAAACATATGCAAGCTCTAATAGTTTCTGGTTCAAACTATTTCTTCTATAAAATATTAGATTAGGATCACTAGAAAATACTTGTTTAATTATAATACTTGTTCTTTTAAAATAAAATTAATTAAAACTAATATTATATAAATAATATATTAAAAATAACTAAATAATTATTTGCCATATTTATCAAATTTGAAATTCTATTTTATAAAGTTATATATATTAAAATATATAATAATAAAAAAATTTTAATAATATATATTTATAGTTTTATCTTTTATTAAATTTTACTAAAAAATTATTTAATATATATAAAGCTCATTATATTGAATAATTTTGTACTTTTTGAATATATAATTTATAAATACATATAATTTATTAATAAATTAATTAATATTTTTAGTATAAATAAATAAATATTTGATTTTTTTACAAATACTAATTTATTACTTATATATATTAATATATTTATTTTCAAAATTATTATTTTTATAATATATCATTTTGTAATATAAATTTATGATTATTTTAATATTAAATAAATTTATAATAAAATAATAAATAATAAAAAATAATATATATTTGTTATAATTGTATAAATAAGTTTATTAAAAGTTAAATAATAATATTATAACTTGGTTTTAGTTTTATTAATAGTATTAATTATATTAGTTAATTATATTTCTTCAAAAAATTTTCAATTATATTAATTAAAAATTATAAATAGAAATAATTTAATTAAGTATAAATTATTTTATTATTTTATTTCAAGTCAAGTAAAAATAATATTAATAAATAAATTTAATAATATCTTATATAATATAATAATAAAAATATTTATTTTAAATAAATTTTTTATTTTTTTAAATTTTATTTTATATTTGATAATAAATATAATACTAATTTTTTATTTGTTAATATTATATTATATCATAACTAATAAAATAAATTTTTATATATTATTATAAAATTATATTTTATTATTTACAAAATTATATTTTTTTATTATATTATAAGTTGAATTCTATATTAAAAAAATAATTGAAATACTTTTATATTCAAATAATATATTAATAATTAAAATATTTATATTATTATAAAATACTTAAGTTTTAATATTAATTTTCTTAATTAAAATAATATAAATAATAAAAAAATACAAAATTATATAATTATTTTATTTTAATTTTTTAATTATTTTTATTTTAATAAGATTTGCTTTATTATTTTTTTAATACTTTTTTAAGTAATTTATGTATATTTAAAAATAAATTAATAATATATTTAAAGAATATATATTTTGATTTTTAAAATTAATAATAATTACTTTGTTAATACAATTATTATATAATATTAAAATATTTATATTTATATTTAATATATTATTTATATTAATATATAATATTTATAAATTAAGAAGTAATCATATAAATTAAATAATAATTATAATAAAAAATATTTTAATTTTTTATAATTTTAAGTATTTTAATTAATTTTTGAATATTCAGAATTACAAAATAAAAAATTAAAATTATATATATATATATATATATTTATTAAAAATAATAACTTTAATATTAATAATAACTCATTAAGTATTATATTATTTTTTAATAATTTATTATAAATTAATATTTTATAGTTAACCAGAAATTACTAAATTTATTATTACTTAAACAAATATTTTTTACTTTATTTTTATATAATAATAAAATAATTTATTATACTAATAACAAATAGTAATTATATTTTAATATATTATTTTTTTAATATTAATAAATTAAATAAATAAATTAAAAAACTTATTAATTAATATTGGAATTTTATATTGAAATATTAAGTTTATATATCAATATATATTATATTTTAATATTAAAAAAAATATATATTATTTTATATTATAAAATATCAAAAAATTATAAAATAATATAATAATATTTAATAATAATAAAATTTTTTATTATAATTATTTATAATAAATAATAAAATTTAAATAAATAACAAAAATTATAACAAAATCTTTTAATTAATAAATACTAATTAATATTTAATATTTTTGAAAATAAATAAATATATAATATATATATTAATATATAATAACAATTAAAAATAATATAATAACATTAAAATTTATTAATTAAATATAATAAAATATAAATTTTTCTCTTTATATGATAACTATAAATAAAATAATATATTATTTTATCTATATATAACTATATTATATATTTTTATATAAGATAATTAAATAATATTAGATTATTAAATTTAAAATATAATTTGATATAAAAATATAGATATATCAAT